TTCCTATGCTGCTAGTTCCAGCAGTAAGATATGAAAAACTGAGTATATCCTCATTCTATGAGATAATGCTAACTCGTAATTAACTGGGGAAATCTGTTGCAAGATTTTGAATAGTTCTAACTTCTTATAATCGAGTTTATTACTGGATTTGATTATTTTGATATTTTTTCGAAGTAAATAAGCTTTATCTCTCTTTTATAAGATTAATTTCTCAATTCTTTTGGAGTTTGCATACTATACTATTTGTTCTTGGATAAATTATAGTTCTAATCGAAGTTTCTTCTGAACTTTCTTAATCTTCTTAACCCTTTTGTCTGCAGCTTCTACATCTGCTTCTAGCAGTGCTTTATAATAAGCTATTGGATTGTATCTATAGAGTATAAAGAATAGTAATTTCTTTATTATACTTGTATCTGCACTATTATAAGCGAACTGTACAAGGAGCAATAGATTAATTCAGTTATTCTGTTTCTGATTAATATAGTATTGAAAATACTATTTGATAATCTGATTTATTCTTTCTATCTGTTTATCTGTTTACAGATAGAATGCTATAAATATTCTATGATATATTTCAAGCTGTTTTATAAGCGAAATCTAAAACTTTGAATTGAACTTTCTATCTTTATTAGAGATTACTTCTTCTGATATGCTATAGTTAGCAATGATTATTCTAAGGAATGTATATACAAGTTTCTTTACTGTACTGCTTTTCTTATAAAGGAGAAAGTAAGCGTATTTGCTTAGTCTGCAAATTACTACTAGAATGCTATTATATTATATCTTAGTTAAGAATTCTCGTAAGAAAAGCAGCTTGATAATAAAGTCTAGATTAATAGATTGCTAAATAATTATAAATACTAGTAAGAGATGCAGTAGTTTGTAAAGCTTATATTTTTCTGCTTTATTCTTCTTACAGCTATTATATTATTATAGAATATTCTCAATTCTTTTTCTAAAGCTTAGTAGATTCCAGTATCTTTTGATACATTCATAGATTGCTCTAATTCTCTGATGTTTATATGCTAGTGCACTATATATATTCTTGATATAGTTATCTTATTCATTTGAAATTATTAATTCTGAATTCTTTTCCAAGAGTTCTATTCTAAGAGCAGCATTCAGTTCTCTGTATGCATTAACAAGATTTTCTAACTTATTTTAAGCAAAGATGTTCTGTATATCCAAAGAATTTGCATCTTAATAGTCTAATCTTCTACTAAGAATATCTGCTTATCCATTTTCTAAGCTTTTGCAATATACAATCTTAAAGTTGAATTATAAGAGGAATTCTGCTTATCTAATTTATTATTTATTCAAAATCTTAATTATTATAAATATAATCAGATTTTTATAATCTGAATGAATTATAATCAAATATTGTATACTAATGAGATAATATTGCTACTTCTCGAAAGCTTTTACTATTGCTATAAGTTTCTAATCAGAGATTCTGTAATTGATTTCCGAGCTATTCAACTTCTTTAAGAAGTTGCTTATAATTCTTAAATGTTCTTAGTTATTTTGCTAATCAAGTTGTTCTCTGAGTACATATTCCAATGCATTGATTTCAATTTTAAAGGATTTATAGAGATCTGCTTTATACAGAACTGGTTCTGAGATAATATATCTGATAATCTTATTGAAAGCTTCTTATGCTTTAAAAGTTTATTTGAAAAGCTATTCCTTTTTAGTAAGATTTATAAGAAGATGTATAATTCAGCTGTAATTCTTAATGAATTGTTTGTAAAAATTGATATATCTGAGAAAAGATCTAATATCTTTAATATTTCTGGAAATTAGCTAATTCCTAATAGCTTCTATCTTATCTTTCTGTAGCTTGATATATTCTAGCTTAATTGTGAATCTGAAGTAGTTAACTTTTTGTATATAAAAATAGCTCTTTATAGATTTTACAAAAAATTTCGTATTCTAAAGTATTTACAATACTATTTCCATATATTTCTTGTATTCTTCAAGTATTCGAGAGTAAATAAGAATATTATTGAAATAAGCAATGATAAACTGATCTAGATGCTTATATAAAATGTAATTGATTATTTTCTAGAATAAAGCTAGAGTATTTGTTAAACTAAAGAGTATAACTAAATATTCATAGTATTTGTAGCATATTCTGAAAGCAGTTTTCCATTCTTCTTCTTTCTTTATTCTAATCAGATTATAAGCTTCTTTTAGATTCAGAACTGTGAATTATTATACTTCTTGCAGCTTATTTCATAATTCCTTAATAAGTAGCAACAAATATTAGTTCTTAATTATAATATTATTAAATTGCTTATAATCAATGCATAGCCTAAGCTTGCTATTCTTCTTGAATACAAACAGAATAGAATATTCTGCTAGTAATTGCAATAATTATATATATTCTTTCTTAAGATTCTTGTTGAAATATTCTCTAAGTACTTCTAATCATACTTTATTTAGTTTATAAATAGAGAAGAATTTGAGCTGTTTCTCTTCTTGTAGCGGGATTTCGTAGTTGTATGAGCTGTATTCTGGCAATTCCGTATCCAATTCTTTCTGGAATAGTTTCTTGAACTTGTAATATTCTTGTAATATGTTTACAAGTATTAGTTCTAATTCTTATGCTGTTTCTGCTATCTAGAGAAATAGTAAGTATTGTTGAGCATACTTCTTTTCTAATAGCATTTTCGAAAGCTTTGAGTATTCGCTCCAAGCTGAAGCAAGTGCTTAAGAGCTTGGTTTTGAGATTTTTCCTGTATAGATCTATAATTCACTTTCTGAAGCTTTTCCTTATCGCTTCAGAGCGGACTAACTTGCTGAGAGTCTTGTTTCTATTGTTTTGCTAATCTGTTAGCATTCTAGTATTATTTGAATTTGCTTGTTACTAGATTCTTCTCTTTGAACTGCTAGCTCTGCTAACTTAAAGATATATATGAAGTTGTTTGAAGCTTCTTTTTCCGAGTATTCTTCAATAATTAGCTTCAATTCTGCGTTGTTGATTGCAACTATTTCTCTAGATATAGCTTGTTCTTATGAGATCTAGCTAGTAATTCAATTGATTCAAGAATTGTGCTTCTTGAGCTATGGAAATTCCATAATCAGCTCATATTATGCTGTATCCGTAATATCAAAAGAAGCTCTGATTGCGTATTCTTGGATTAAAATAGATAGATAATCAGTCTTCTTATTGATTACTTCTTAGTTGTATACAACAGATTGTTCTTCTATAATACTGAGAGTATATAAGCATTTCTTCTATCTCTATTGTAGTTATGCTTAATTAATAATGTATGGGAATATAAAGTTTCTCTAAGTGCTACTATTCAATAGTATACTGTATTTGTATTCTTGAATATATATATTAAACTTGATATAAGCATAATCTATTCTAGAAGCTTTATATAGAAACTATTCTAGTTTAATTATCTGCAATCCCTTTATAAACGATTCTATTCTTTTGAGTTTATTAAGAACTGCTTATTCTTCTAAGCCTGCTTTACTACTTCTTAAGCAAGCTTCTTAGCTTGCTTTTGCTTATATTATTATTATTCTTAATCTTTCTTCTATTAATGCTAGTTGCAAATCTTATTATTAATATAAATTATGCAGAGTATTATTTTATACTATTACCATTTTATCTTCTTATTTATACATTGCTTGGAATAGTTATTTAATAATCCGATATATGCATTGTAATGCTATCTGTTGAGAATCTCTTTAAAGCAGAATTCCTATTCTTTAATAGCTTAAAGAATTTATTCTAGTTCTCTAATAGAGAACTATTCGTATTATATCTTATTTGAGAAATGTATTCTACAGCTATAATAAATGTAGAAAATCCAAGCTAATTCATGATATAGATTATAAAGTAAGCTGATTCGAGAATTTTCATCTTCTTATATCTTGATATTCTGCAAGGGGATGCAGGTGAAGAGCTCTTTCAGCTCTATTCCGTAAATAAGATATTTGATTTATATTATTTCTTTATTCTATTCAATACTGAAGAGGAATCTTCCTATAAGCTTCTTAGATTTATTATTGTTTGTAAGAAGCTTCTGCAGGCTGCTAAGTTATTTGCTCTGGCTTAATTCTTTTATTGCTTGAAAAGCATTCTCTATATTATTTAGATATTTATACTAGTAGCTAAAAGGGTATTATCTCTTATTCATGTTCCTAATTATAGTATCTAGTACAGATAATGAGGAATAGCGAAGAGCATTGTTATTAAGCTCTTTTTCCAGCGCCTGAATGCTTCGCTCAGTAATATTAGAGCAGTTCGAGTTATTGCTGCTCATAGTTATGCTAAGCGTATACTCTCACTTTGCTATTGCTATTTGCCTATAGCGCTTAGATTTCTGAGGAAACTATTCTGAATCTTTCTTACTTAAGAGATATATTAAGCAGTTATTATTATAGCAGAATGTTCAGCTGAGACTTTCGTAATTGATAGAATCTAATACTTGTTCCAAGAGAGTATTTTTGCTCAGTTGATTAAATTTCTATCATCAAGCAATATTTATTTAGCATTCTTTCTAAACTGATTACTATTTGTTCTTTCGAGATTAATAGCAGTTGCATGTAATGTATTCTTATTTATTGCAATTATAGCAAGTAATGCTATTCTTCTTGCTATACTGCTTGTTAGCAGCATTGAGTTCTATAGAATTAGCATATATAGTGCTGCTTTAAGCTGTACTGCTATATCGATTGCTATTCTTGTTTTGGAGTTTCTTGCTTATATTAGCTGAAAATCTTCAAATTTAGCTGCTTTCTTTCTTGGATTTCTTCATCTGTTATTTATATAGATAGTTATTAATACAGATTATCTGATTTAAGAATGTTGCAAAGTTCTTCAGCTAATTCTGTTTAAAGATTTCATTCTTAACTTTATTCTTGAATCTCTTGTAATAATACTTTATAAGATTTTTATCTTTCTATAAAAGTTATACTAAGAATTGCTTGAATCTAATTATATAAGCAGAAGCTGATTTAGTTTATCTGAGGTTTATAAGCTGCTAAGCTGTAGTATGCTCTTTGTTAGAGTTACTAAAGATCTCTTTGAAAGCTTTTTCGAAGCTTTCAAAGGAATTAAATATATTCTTAGTATTCTGAATATGCATATTGGAGTTGTTCTGATGCTCCAAATGATTGTATAGAGAAGGTTTATATTAAATGAGAACATTCTTTTCGAAATAAGTTTCTGCAAGAATAACTTTCTCAGATTTCTTAATAAACTGAGTTATATAATGCAAGAAATATGCTTTGCAATAAGTAAGGAATTCATATAGCATTTTCTGATTGCTATTATATATAGCAAGCTTATTCATCTTGTATATCTTTTCAGCATTGCTGATAACTGCAGAAATAAACTGCATCTGCTAAGCTTATTAAGCTAGCTAAGCCTGCTAATTAGCAATGATAGCGCTCTAAGCTTGCTGTTATTTATACAGATTCTGGATATGCTGAATAAGCTGATATATCTGATTAACTAGCTCTTTCTAAGTAAGAGTATATAAGAATAAAGAGATTTCTGAAGAAGCTATCGTATTCCGTATTGCTCAAGGGATAATACTGAACTGTTCTTGAACAAGAGTTATCAAAATGTAATAAGTATTGCAGCAATCCGAAGATTCCTAAGTATATGAAGGGGTTTATGCTAACAAGAGCGGTATCAAAGTATCAAGTTCTTGAATATGGAATTATACAAGTTCTAATAAGCGATGCAAGTATTTACTGCCTTTGGGACTACTCAGTATATAAAACTGAATACTTAGATTAATAACTGAAGAGCTATATACTGAATCTATCTAATAGTAATGAACGTATTCTTATATATTCAGCTCTTCAGTTCTAACTATCCTGACTATGTTCTGATTCCTCATAATCGTTTCCTAAATATGTTGACTATGTTCATAGTCGACATAGTCGCGCTAGTAACCCTAACCCGGGTTACGTAATCCTGATTGGTACCCGATGTTGGGTCGTGATATCTGGTCCCTTGGTTGGTGGAGCCTATCCTGTGACCTGCATGTTGGATGGGTCATAATACTAAGATTAAAGAGATAAAATGAGCTTAGCAATCTACAAAGCTTATTAAGTATAATAAATAGATTAAATTCAAGTTTAGCAATCTAGATTCTGATTAATATCTGAGATCTAAGCAGTAAGCTGTTATGCAAAAGAAAAACTGTAAAGAGTTCTCTAAAGCTAAAAAGAAAATATTTAAATATATATTGAGAAACAGAATCAAAGCTCTTATATAAAACTTTACTAATATTAGAAAGATTATTAAGAAAGTAGCTTTCTTATAAGAAATTAGAACTATATCTTACAAAATCTTTTAAATAAAGTACATTTCAATCCCTAATATTTTCAAGCTAAAGCTAATAAAGCTTCTAAAATAATATATTAAGCAGAAGATTATTAAGAAAAGCTATATATTATATAAAAATAACTAATTTCTTATTATTAAAAAGAATAATAGCTTATACTTAATTAATAATACTCAAAAGTATAATAAGCATAGCTTTAAGAATGCTTTTATACTGCTTATTTCAGATGAATTCTCGGAAGAGTTCGCTATATATAAGATTCTTTTACTGCTCAACTTTTTTTCTAAATACAATCAAGTGCAACTGCATTCTAACAGTAGAGATATAATAATCTTCTTAATACTCTTAAGCTTATTCAGAATATATATTTTACTCTAAAATGCTACTAATTCTATTGCTTAGTTTATAAGAATAATAATCAGATTTTTATATAATCTTATTTCTTATATATATTAGCTTTTTCTTAATAATATTTCTATTTATAGTTCTATAATAATCTATAGAAATAAAGAGATTCTAAGCTTTTCTAGAGTATATAAATATATTGCTAAGTATATCGGAAATCTTAATAAGATTCTTATAAATATAAAGCTAGCTGAAGCTATAATCTTAGTATTCAAATCAGAATAATATTAAGTAAAAATTGATATAGTTAATTATATTATCAGTTCTAGCAGATGATAATCTTAGAATAGAAAGATGAAAAAGCTTCTAATCTGAATAGAATATAAGAATATTAAAGATATTCGCTCTTTTATTAGACTGATTATTTATTATACAGCTTGAATTTAGAACTTTGCAATCATTATTCAACTATTCTATAATTTTCTTAAGAAAGATATTATATAAAGATAGAAGAAGGAATAGAAAGAAGCTATTGCTATACTTATTCAGATATTTATATCTTATTCAATTATTATTTTAATTAATTATAATACTAATGCTAAAAAAATCATTCTTATAATAAATACAAGCTTATTAAGCTAAAGTATTATACTAATGCAGATAATAAAGAATAAATAAAAGCTAGTATATTTTATTAGCAAAATCTGAATAATTGCAGTATAGAAATATAATGCTATCAAGAGAGAGTATTACGCTATTCTCTATACTTTACAGTTTCTTTAGCAATATTTCTATAATTGCTATTTCATTCTGAAAACTAATACTTATATTCTAATAAATTAATTCAATAGAGAAATGAATAATATATCCAGTATTCTTCTGAATAAATAAGTAGCAGTAATTAAGATATTTAACTTTATTATTAAATATATTTTCAGATTAAAGAATTCTATAGCTAATACTCTTTCTCAATCTTTATACTTAATACTATTTAAGAAAAATAAAGATAGCAATATTAAGAACTAATATAATACTTAGCTTAATAGCATAAACTTAGATAAAGCTGATTTAGTATTACTGCTAAATTTAATTCTTTAGTAAATGGAATAGTTGAAATAATATGCAAAGTTCTTATGCTATAGAATTATTTTATTAAAACTCTTTAAGAGAGATTGCAAGAACTTTATAGTAGAAGTATTAAAGCATTAAATACTTAATTAAGCTCTATAGCACTATGCTAATGCAAAACTCTTATGCTAATAAATAGTAAATAATTTTAATCTTTATTACTAAATTATTAGAAAATGTTATACTAAGTTTGAATATTAAGATCAAGATTCTATAATAGCTTATATTAAGCAACTCTATTACTAGAGAGATTTCTAAATAGATATAGCTAATACTATCTCAAATTGTAAGAAGTATGCAAAATTCAATCTAAAGATGTAAAAGAAAGGAATAATTCTAATCTTTTCAAGTTAATTCTTTATAAGAATTAATATCGATATTCAATATATAGCTGAGAATAGCAGTTATAGATATCTTGCAAAGATTTGCTATAATCTAATTAATTATATGCTTGCAAGATCTCTTAAGAAAGCTATAGCTGCAGAAATAAGAAAGTTTATTTTGAAAGAGATTATTCTTATATTCAGATGCTCTTTTAAAATTACTGTTAATAGAGAATTAGAAAACAAAGCTGAGATAGCTAAAACTATTAAAGCTCTTGGAATTCTGCTTATTCAGATCTTTAGTTACAATCCTTATATCTAAGAATAAGTAGAAGCTAGTTATCTTTTCTTAGCAAATACTCTTGCTAAGCTAGCTAATGCTTAATTCTAAAGATAAAAGCAGTATTTGAGATTTGCACTTTTTGCTAAAAGAACTATAATTTGCTAGTTATATAAATATAGCTTCTTTTATTTGATTTTCAGTTAAAAGCTGCTTATTTCAATTGAAACTGAAATTCTGATATAAAAAGTTCTTATATAAACTGAAAATTAATTCTCTTAAAAAGCGTTTGAAATGTGATTAAGAATAATTATAGCTAAGAAAGATAATATACAGAAAGCAATTAAAGCTATTTAGATATATTATCAAAAGATTGCAGCTAAAAATTGAATACAGAGTTTAGTATAAAAATCTTGATTAAATATTAGAGATTTTATACTTATTTATAATTATATTTGAAAAATAAGCTATTTATACAATGCTAAGATTTCTTATAAGTAAAAGAGTTTATATTTAATTGCTTAGATTCTAGATAAATATGCTTATAAGCTTAAGACTATAGATGGAATTCTGCTAAAAAGCATATATTTAGCTACTAATCTTAAAAAGTTTATATAGAATATAAATAGCATTTGAAAATCTGAAATGCTTATACTCTAGAAAGAAAATATTAAGCTTTAATCTAGCTAACTATTAGCAGAAAAGCTAGATTTAATAAGAGCTTTCTAGCAAGAAGAATCAGATAATAATATTCTTAAAATTCAGAAAGCAGATTCAAGCAATAATGCTATATTCTAGATTTCAGATATCATTAAGCATAATCTTATACTTAGCTAAACTAGTTCTGATTTAGAGATTATTAATCTAGCAACTAAAGCAGATAATAATACTAAGAATGGAAATAGAATTAGTAATAATGAATATTTTATATAAGCAGCAGAGAAGAAGAGATAAGAATAGGAGAAAGCAGATAGAAGTGAAATATTTATATTAATTCCAACTAAATCAGCATTTCTAGCTTATAAGAGAGATTAATTTCTTTCTATTTATATTTCCTTTTTATTTGCAAAATATATTTTCTTTTCATCTTTTCTATTCTATCTTATATATTTTGCTAGAAGAGAAGGAATAAAGTATTATCTGCTATTACTTGCTACAGAATACTGTAAATCCATTTAAAAATTTCAAAGTATCTAGTATAGAGCATGTTAATTAGCTCTAAAGCTATTTTCGTTATTCAAAAATTACATGTTATAACCCATCCAACATGCAGATCACAGAACAGGTCACGAGTAACAGGGACCAGGTATCAAGGATTCAACGTTCTGACAAAGCATCGATTACATAACCCAGAATTAGGGTTATTAGCGGATAGATACAGTCAACATCTATCCTGTCAATAAAAGAATCGATAGAGTCAATATTGATTCTATCTATCCGAACTGAAGAACCAAGTATATAAAGATTTACATTTCTTACTATCAGATAGATTTCCTTCAAATAGTTCTTCAGTTATCAATCTAAATATTCAGTTTCATATACTAAGTAGCTTCAAAGGCAGTAAATACTTGCATCGCTTATTAGAACTTGTACAGTTCCATATTCAAGAACTTGATACTTTGATACTGCTCTTGTTAGCATAAATCTCTTTGTATACTTAGGAATCTTCGGATTGCTGCAATACTCATTATATTTTGATAACTCTTATTCAAGAATAGTTCAGTATTATTCCTTAAGCAATACAGAATACGATAGCTCTTCCAGAAATCTTTTTATTCTTATATACTTCTACTCAGAAAGAACTGATTAACCAGGTATATCAGCTTACTCAGCATATTTAGAACCTGCGCGAACAACAGCAAGCTCAGAGCATTACCATCGCTAACCAGCAGGCCCAGCTAGCTTAACAAGCTCAGCAGGCTCAGCTAGCTCAATAAGCTTAGCAGGCGCAGTTCACCTCTACAGCT